GTTTGATCGGGTACATTACCTTGCCTTGTTCTTTGCTCTTTTCTTCAGTGATACTGTGCAGGATTTTCAGTTGGTCACCAAGTTACAAAATGATTTAAAATAAAGAGAAAATCAGTGAGTTGAAGAGAGAGAAAAGTGAGGTTAGTTAAACTTGGTAAGAGATACAGGCAGCAATTGTTTCACAGAATTAACACTACTATGTCATAAGAATTTGCTTTTTACATACTTCCTCATATATAATTGTTATACTGTAATTTTCTAGACATTGCAACCTGAGGAGCCACTCACCTCATGCCTAGTTCTCTCTGCTTAGCATCTGTGAGATTTTTCAACATGGCAACAGTGATCTTTTTGTCTGTATAAAAGAGGAAACAGTTAATAACAGTCCTGTAATAAATGGTATTTATTATGACAAGTATCCTTGATATTAGCTTTCATGCTTCACAACACAGACGCATAAGGAATGACCTGAGTTAAAGCAGCTCTCAACTGGCTAACTCTGAGGACAACTATTGATGTAATTTACCAAACCAGAAAACCAACCTTTAACTGTTTTTTGACAGGTTTGCAGGTAGTGACACAAGTGCTTCGCTTCCCATTTCTCGTTGTCGGGGGGCAACACCAGTGACAATGTTGTCTTTGGCATTTTGATGCTGTCAGAGGTCGTCTCTGCCCACCGACGTTTTCGACTTTGTTCTGCCATGTAGTTGCTAATGCAGGATCATCACACAAATGATTGTATGATGTTGTTTAGCTGATGCGGGTAGACCTGCACAAAAAACACACAGGGTTTGAAGAAAACCCAGCTTTGGTCACTACACTCATAGTGAAGGTCTATTGTGACTTATTGAACCACAAAAAGATTTCAGAAAATCGACCAAAATAACTTAAATACATTAGCATTTCAATGGACAGGAAATTATATCACACAAAGAACTGAAGAACACAAAGACTGTCAAGCTACTGTGTCATTTGTTTTGTCTCAATTTGTGTAGCTTGGCTACATAGTGGAAGATGAGGGACTACCAACATATTTCCAAATGTGGGAAAACGGCCACCAAGGAAGGAAGAAGTAACAATGTTCATTTTTAAGTGAGCAAAGCATCTGGCAGACGATCACGGTCTCATGTTGCAATCTTCATTTTCGGTTTACATGCTTTCTAAAGTTGGATGGCAAATTTTTGTCAGCAGTGATGAAGTTCGGTCGTGGTAAACACAACAAACATTTAAAACATGGACTTCAAATAAGGCCTGATGAAGAATCATCAGTGTCATCTTTATCTGATGTAGCCATCGTTAGGCCACTGCCAGGTTCAAACTGAGCTGGTCAAAAATGCAGCAGCACAGCATGACTGATAGCTGTGATTGTTTTTTTCTCCTGTGACAAACAGAGTATGGCCTATCATAATTTTTGAAAATGAAATGAGATTCATTCAGCTGACTAAAAGCTCTGCTTCACAGTAACAACTACTTAATAGAAATGTAGTGGAGTCAAAAGCACAATATTTGTCTTTTAAGGGTGGTGGAGTAAAAGTAAAAGTTTCCAAAAAAGGAATACTCAAGTGAAATTCAGATAGTAGAAAAAATGTATTTGAGCACAGTGCTCAAGTAAATGTACTTTGCTACTGTCCATCCCTGAAAATAAGGTAACCATGTATTGTGGTTACTACAGGGTTTGGTTGTTCAATCTGCATGTATAAACCAATCAACCACAAAATTAAAACATGTAATTGGTTTGTTGTGAAGCCACAAAGCCACATTCATTTTTGTTTACTTTAATTGCAATGAGTTTTGTTTTGCCATCACAGTTTTATTAAACTCCTGTTGCTTTCCTTGAACCAGTGTTGTAACATATCAGTGCTCATCAGGGATCAATAAGATTCTGAGTAGTTTTGTTTTTTCCCCCTTTGTTGTACAGATTATAATCCTATGTTTGATTGTTTTAGTGGTGTGCTGTTTTAAAACTGTGGCTATGGGCAGCTCTGTTTCTCCCTCCTGCTCAGTATAAAGTGAGTATAGTGTCTATGTGCTGCTGAACTGAGGTTTCTGGTTCTCTCCTTGGTTAGTTAGGGAGTGTAATAAAGGATACTCTGCAGTACTCTGCTGATAATTAGGCTTTGATAAAATTTTTATTCTGAGCTTCATGGGTAGTTTGTAGCCCTACATTTGTGATTATTGTACATATGTTATTATTGTTGTGGTGCCATGAAAAAGAAAGTACTCAGAGTCCAGACAGTTGGTTAGCCTAACTGGAAAAATCTACCTGCATTTTTACATCCTAATGCTAGTTTCAGCGCAGAAGAACTGATATTAGGACAAGACAAGACAAGACAAGACTCTGTCTACTAACCTTTTAGACTTTGTATGTAATTTTGTGTTCTTATTCTGTATTCTTCCAGAGTGGACGACTCTACAGCTTAGCCTGCATTATACTTGGGTCAAGGCAGGCAAAGTCAGACTTTGTGTGTAATTTTGGGTCACTACTGGGCATATTAACTGACAAAGCAGAACTTTGGGGAAGACTATGACAGCATGAAGGATTGGGGTTGATGACTGTGAATACTCAGTCAACACCTCACACTGGAAACGTAAAGTGTGTGAATCTATACAAACCCTACTGTGAAAGGAACCAGGCTATGCTCTTGGATGTGAAACTTGTTGCTGTGCTGAAAAGTCCAACCTCAGTAGCTGGGAAGGACTGACATTGTAATTAGGGCATTTCTCTTTGCAGATTACCCGATTCTAAAATGCTGGCCAGCTTTGATGTCCACCATTCCTATCTGGACTCCCCAGAGTATTTTGACAACATTGAGGTGGTTCACAAACATACTGCCACCTTTTGTGATGTGTGCACATGCAGCAATATCCTTGAGCATGACAATGTTGTGTTGTAAGTGATGCTTCTGTTAAACAGCATCCTTACAGACTGAATCCTTTGCAGCCTGTGAATTAGACTACATGCCACAACATGGCATTACTGAACCTAGTTCTACACATGGAACTTCCCATGAATGAATGCTTGTTGACAAGCCTATCACCAAATTTGAGGCCTTTAATTATGAACTTTGGTGTTCCCATTATTTGCTGTGGGCTCCAGCATTTTTTTAGTATGGCATATTCTCCTCCATGTTGGTTAGGTTAACCAGCGACTCTAAATAGCTGGTAGGTGTGAATGTGAGAGTGAATGGTTGCTTGTCTCTATATGTCGACCCTGTGATCGACTGCCGACCTGTCCTGGGTGTACCCTGTCGTTGCCCAGTGTTAGCTGGGAAATGGGATTGGCTCAAGCCCCTCTGCAACCCTAAAAGGGAATGGAGTATGAAAGCATATTGCTACTATCATTGCCTCCATCGCTAACCTGCTTAGCCAAAGGTCCCTTTTGTTTGGACAAATATATGTCAACATTTGAAAACGTGAAAGCATCAGGTGTTGAGCATCATCTGTGTTATTTTTCTAAATGGTTTGACCTCAAAAATGTTTTTCCACCATAAAGAAAGAGGTTTTGGCAAATTTAAACTTTTTGCTCTGTATCTTTTTGATTTTTATATCTCTTCCAGCCAGCCTCTAGTTGACTACACAGACTATATTGTCTTGTTTCTCTCAGTGGGACAAAGAAAAAATCCAACCACTGTCTAATGCAATGGAGTTTGTTCTTGCGAGGTCTTAACATGGACTGGCATATCCATGCGAAGGGCAGTGTGCTTAGAGCAGTGATTCTCACCAAGGGGGGCACGACCCACTACCAGTCTGCAGTGTTTAAATGTTTAATAAAGTCTAAGGACTTTCCGAGGACTTATGAGCCTCTTTTCATCCTCATTTTGTGTTTCCATGCTGTGTACTGTACAAGATGTTGATGTGCCTTTGTTATGTTCACTCGGGAACATAGTTCTTACGGGATCACTGAGGCATGATGAAGGTGTGGACACATCAGAAAAACAAGACATGCCATAGATATAAATGCCCATTTCAAAGAACCAACCTGTGCCTGTGTTGTTGTTCTACTAGTTTCATTTTCTGTTGTATAACTTCTGACACCTGCTTCTAAATTAGATTTTCAACAGCAGACATTAAAGTTGTGCTATGTGATATTCTTATTTTTCCTGTTGGTTATGTGAAGTCCGGAGGGTTTTGAACACTCACTTAAGGGTTAGGGTTATAAAAATAAAACAGATTTAGGATAAGACTATGAAAATGTTCTGGCAAGCATACACTCAAAGCTACACAAGAGCGACTTAGAAACACAGCCATTTGATTATTAAGCCCCTGATGCTTATTAAAACAAAATTTGAACACACCTAGTCTATTTATCAACCACAAGACTTTGAAGAAAAATCACTCCCGATTCTCTTGAGTGATCAGTGAGCTAGTTTTTCTACATTCCATACTGAAATCTTCCTCATTGTCATTAGGGTTGGGCGATGTTTATCAAGTTAGCATATTACCATGATTACAGTAAAACATTGTGATGGACAATGACAATGTGATTACTTTTTATGAGTAACAGGTTTTAATAATGACATTGACAATCTGTTGCCAAAAAAGATACCACCTTGCTCGTCTGGCAGTAGTTTGGATTTTTTCCTGATGAGAGAGGAGAGCCAAGAGACATTAATGAAGTGGTGTTTAGGATTTGTGGTAATGTAATCTGTGCAAGAGATGGAGAGAAGACAATTTTTTCACTACCATTTGCGTACACCACATCCCATGGAATATGCTAGACAGCCATCACATGCAACTGGCCCTATAAAACAGCTAGCTACCACCAACCAACGAATAAACATCATAATGAAAGATGGAAGCAATGTACTGGTGCTGTGACATGTTACCTAACAAAAGAAAGGATTTATGTTAATATGGTATAAAAGAATATTCTTTAGGTCATGCTACAGATATTTGACAAACAGTATGAGCTGCCAGGTCAGAATTTTTTCTTGAAGACTGTTTTCAGAAAATTATACAATGACAACAGAACAAACGTTTCAGGAGTGCCAGATGATGTTGAATATTTGGCCCTGTCATGTGGTCCAGCGGCAGCATGATGCCTCACCTGACTTCTAGTTTAGTGCTACTACTTCAGGAAACAGACCAGTGGAGATTCATTATCTTCAGATGAACTGTAGAATGCATTTTTACAAAGAAAGAGGAATATGAATTTAAATCCCCACCAATTACATTGAAATCAGTCTGGATAGAGATGTTTTCAAGAGTCATGAAGGTCTCTTACAAGGAATATATCCTTTAAATATATCCTTATGCTGACGATGTGATATTATTTATGCAGAACACGTTCACTTAATCAAGTCATTAAAGTCCATACTTTTCTGCAATCTTACCAGTGGATAGGGATGTCAGGTCTGCTGTCTCTCTGAAATCAAACCAGTTTGACAGTGGGTACTGTGAGGTAATTTTCTCTTGTCCACCTAAGGAATAACAGACTCAGGTCAGTGTGAAGCCCTAGGTCTCTGTGCCACAGCTACTGCATTAAATCTTATAAGCCTTGAGACAGTCAGGCGGCTCCTCCAGACGCAGCTATGTTTTCTGCTGATAATACTGGTGCCAGGGCTGATAACAGCAGACCATAGATGGTCAGGAACAAGTGGCTGGGTATTCTGAGAATCAGCATTTGGGCGTATATAGTCATGTTCCTTGTTTATGGTTAATGAACCAATAGTGTATTCACACATCCCTCTTCTCCCTCTTCTTTTAGATATTTGACCAATTATGTAATGTAAGCTATCTATAGTTATCTCTAAGTGTATAGAAACTATCCTCAGGGGTTCCTGCTTCACAATTGAGGTGACATCATGCACAGAAACCTGTATTGATGAATCCTTCTTTCTCAAGTTTCAATAAACATCCTCAGCATAAGACATCCTGGACTCCAGAGCTCTTTCTTCACCAACGATAAGAATTTCCAGGGACTAGAGTTTTCATTCTGTGCTATAGTTGCCAAAAAGGACAAACCAAATTAAATATTTAAATATTTCATAGATATGTTCAACATGACTAGGAAGTTGTTATGCAGATACATTCAATATAAATAATCATATTGTTCATAAAAAATATCAGGTAGCTTTAAGTTTCCAATAAATCCTATTAGCTAAAGCAGATCATGTGACGGTATCTTTTAGGAGGCAGGGTTGTATTTGCATTTTGCTGACATCACTCTAAGATATGAAGTATCGGGATGTACTCTTTTGCATTCTGCACAGGTATCCATTTGACTATTATATACCATCGTGCCGTTTGGGGAGCAAAGTTGTGGTCTTTACACCTCATCAGTGTGTAAAGTGGAAGAAAAACATACACCACAGAGTTAAACATTAGGAGCCCCAACCTTGATAGAAGTCAGTGAGTGAGATATCATACATAATTAATTGTTTGGAATTTATTTTTGGTACTTGTGTGACTTTTACTTCTTCCGATAGAGCTTGTTTGAATTTCTGAGAGAGTGCACAAGAGAGAGTAGGTGAGCACACAAACAAAACTACAAAGAATCCTAAAGTTAAAAATTTACTGTGCCTACTTATTACTACTACTAATACTAATTCAAAAAAACACAAATGAAAGTGAAAGCAGCAGTTGGGTAGTAAACAACAATGTACCAGTGAATGTTGAAGACAGGGCTGGGCAACAGAAACAGAGAGCTGGTGCCAGTCCTGTTAACTTCCTGCTTCATCATGTTTGACTGCTTCTGCAGGTGGGACCAACCAGTCAGACAAGAGTCAACAAATCTGTTTTTTCTCTTTTTGTGGTCATTTTTACGTCTCTTTGAGTTAGCTTTGTGTGTCTTTGTGATAGTTTTGTTTTTTGTAGTCATTTTTGGGCTGTTAAAACTAACTGTAGTATAAATACACCTTCATCTTGAAGGTTCAACTTTTGGTGACCTAGTCTGGTGGCAAAACCTACACAATAAAGGTGAAGTTATTAAAAAAGATTCAGAATTTGAATACAAAAAAGGTTCTACCATAGGACCAGTGAGTCCAAGCATTACATTGATGTAAAATCTTGTGGAAACTTTCAACCTTATGAAGAGCATACATTCAAAGCCTTTACACAAGAGTGGCTTAGAAACACAGCTACAGGATTATCAAGCACCTGTTGCTTTATTAACACTTTTTACACACTTAGTCCAATTATATGAACAAAAAGACTTTCATAAAAATCACTCCAGTTCTCTTGATGATCAGTGAGCTGGTTTTCTACATTTCCATACTTGAAATCTTCTCATTGTCACTAGGGTTTGGGTGATGTTTATTCGAATTGGCATATGGACATGTTTAGAGTAAAAATTGTGCATGGACAATGACATTGTGATGACTTTTTTTTCACATTTTTAAAGCCCACAATGAAATGGTTTCAGTATTCATATGTTGCCAATAATGGCATGACGATCTTGGTTGCTAAAAAAGATTACCACTTTGCCGTCTTGGCAGTGTTTGGATTTTGTCCTGATGAGAAGAAGAGCCAAGAGACATTAATGAAGTGGGTTTTAGCGATTTGTGGTAATGTAATTTGTGCTAAGAGATGGACAGACGGACGAATCTTCACAACCATTTGTGTATTCCCTCCTGTGCGAATATTTGCTAGACAAGCCATCATGTGCAAAACTGGCCTATAAAACATTCTAGCTACACAACCAACGAACAAGCATCATAATGGAAGCGGTACTGGTGCTGTAACTTGTTACATAGGAAAAGAAACGATTTGTTTTTAAACACAGAGGAAAAGAATACTTTTAGGCCATGCTACAGACATTTGACAAACAGTATGAGCTGCCAAGTCAGGATATTTATCTTGAAGACCACTGTCCCAAAGTTATACAACGACAACAGAGCAAACGTTTCAGGAGTGCCAGAGATGTGGAATATTTGGCCCTGTCATGTGTCCAGTTGCAGGCATGATACCTCCACATGTCAGTGACCACACCATCATTGTCAGCAAAGAATGGACACTGGAATTGAAATGCTTTACAAACGAGCTTCATGCCAGAAAGTCACACAGCTGAGAACCTTGGAAGACTTGGAGACCCCAAATATGACTAAAAGTAGAAGGGACTGACCGAGTTCATGAGGTTACACCACTGGATGTTGTAGGTTAAATGGGCCATGAGGATGACATGCCACTTCAATTCTTTATTGATTCAGTTTACTTACAGTAAGTGATCCACTAAAACAGGTTCTCTGCTGTGTGACTTTCTGGCATGAAGCTCGTTTGTAAGCATTTCAATTCCAGTGTCCATTCTTTGCTGGACAATATGATGTGTGGTCACTGAATTGTGAGGTATCAGTGCGGCAGCTGACCACATGACAGGGCCCAAATTTCCACATCATCTGGCACTCCTGAAACGTTTTGCGTCTGTTGTCGTGTATCAACTTTGGGACAGTGGTCTTCCAGATAAATATCTGACTTGGCAGCTCATACGTTTGTCAAATGTCTGTAGTCTTTGCCTAAAAGATTCTTTTTCTCTGTGTTATAAAACAAATCGTTTCTTTTCCCTATGTAACAAGTTACGCCACCAGTACACTGTCATTATGATGTTGTTCGTTGGTTTGGTGTAGCTAGCATGTTTTATGAGTCCAGTTTGCACATTGATGGCTGGTTCTAGCATTTCCCACAGATGGGAAATACACAAAATGGTTGGAAGAATTTCGTCGTCTGTCACATCTCTTGCACAAATTACATTAGCCACAAATCCTAAACTACCACTTCTATTCAATGCTCTCTTGGCTCTTCTTCTCATCAGGACAAAACATCAAACCATGCAGACGGCAAAGTGGTATCTTTTTAGCAACACAGATCGTCAATGCCATTTATTTGCAACATATGACTACTGAACACCATTTCATTTTGTGCGCTTAAAATGTGAAAAAAAGTCATCAACAATGTCATTGATCCATCACAATTTTTACTCTAGAACATGTCTCATATGCCAATTCGATAAACATCACCCAACCCTATGACAATGAGTAAATTTCAGTATGGAATTCTAGAAAACCAGCTCACTGAATCACTCACAGAGAACTGGGAGTGATTTTTATTGAAAGTCTTTTTGTTCATAAATTGACTAAGTGTTTGTAAAGTGGTTAATAAGCAAACAGGTGCTTTGATAATCCTTGCTGTGTTTCTAAGCCACTCTTGTGTAGTTTGAATTATGCTCTCATAGGTGAAAGTTTCCACAAGTTTACATCAATGTATGCTTTGGACTCACGGTGTCCTCATGGTAGAAACCTTTTTTTGTATTTCAAATTCTGAATCTTTTTTAATAACTTCACCTTTATTGTGTAGTTGCCACAGACTAGGTCACAAAAGTTGAACCAATATCAAGCTGATATGTATTTTATTACTACATTAGTTTTTACAGCCCAAAATTGACTACAAAAAACAAATACTATACAAAGACCACACAAAGCTAAACTCAAAGAGACGTTAAAAAATGACCACAACAAAGAAAGAAAAACAGATTTGTTGACTCTTGTCTCACTGGTTGTCCACCTGCAGGAATCAGTCAAACATGATGAAGCAGGAAGTTACAGGACTGGCACCAGCTCTCTGTTTCCTGTGTGCCAGCCCTGTCTTCAACATTCACTGGTACATTGTTGTTTACTCACCCAACTGCTGCTTTCACTTTCATTGTGTTTGTGTTTTGAATATAGTAATTAGTAGTAGTAATAAGTAGCACAGTAAATTTTTAACTTTAGATTCTTTGAGTTTGTTTAGTGCTACCTACTCTCTCTTTGCACTCTCTCGAAATTTCAAACAAGCTCTATCGGAAGAAGTAAAAGTCACACAGTACCAAAAATAATTCCCAAACAATTTAATTAATGTTATGATATTTCACTCACTGAACTTTAGTCAATGGTTGGGCTCCTAATGTTTAAACTCGTGTGGTGTATGTTTTTCTTCCACTATACACACTGAATGGAGGTGTTAAGACCACAACTTTTGCTCCCCAAACGGCACGATGTATTAAATAGTCAAATGGATACCTTGTGCAAGAATGCAAAAGAGTACATCCGAGTACTTCATATCTTAGAGTTGAGTAGCAAAATGCAATACAACCCTGCCTCCTAAAAGATACCGTCACATGATTCTTTAGCTAATAGGATTATTGAAACTTAAGCTACCTGATATTTTGTCATAACAATATGATTATTTATATATGAATGTATCTGATTAACAAACTTCCTAGTCATGTTGGAACATATCTATGAAATATCTTAAATAATTTAATTTAGGGTTGTCCTTTTGGCAAACTATTAGCACAAGAATGAAAACTCTAGTCCTGGAAATATCTGTTCGGTTGGTGAAGAAAGAGCTCTGAGTCCAGGATGTCTAAAATGCTGAGGATGTTTATTTTGAAAACTGAGAAAGAAGATTCATGCAATACAGGTTGCTGTGCATGATGTTCACCTCAATTGTTGAAGCAGGAACCCTGAGGATAGTTTCTATACCTTAGAGATAAACTATAGATAGCTTACATTACCATAATTTGTCAAATA